GTCACATCTGGTCATGGCCGGAAAGTCTCTGAGATAGAGGTTCCTATCAGTCAATTGCCAGGAACTGTCGTCATTGGGGAACCTGTGTCGGTGGTTGTAGACTACAACACGGATGGGAAACCTGCGGTGAGTCATTCGGCCGAGATAACTGCGAGTGAGCCAGAGGATAATGACGAGGCAAGTTTGTCTCCAGAAAGTGAAGAGGAAGACGTTCCACCGGTTTTCTCAGCGCCTGAGGTGCAAAGCGCTCCTCCACCACCACCACCTCATTCACCTCCTCTGGTCAGTCCGGAAAGGATCCGTATCAGCGCGCAAGCTTTGCCCGGGCCTCAGGTTCCACAAAGTATCGACGCGGAACGGTTCCCATTCCTCAAAGGCTCGAATGTGAAGCTCAAAGCAGGTGCCTTCCAACCGGTTCCGAGTCGCGAGCCCAACCAACCTGGGAATTATCAGGATGAAGTGGAAGAGACGCCGCTTCCTCGACGATTTAGAGCGACTAGTCGTGAGGAGCTGTTTAAACTGGATGGACTGTTACATGCGCACGCACATCACCATGACCCACCCGAGAACGGGGTTACTAACGGGGGAAATGATTACCCCATTGACGCAGATTACTCAAGGGACGAGTATTACAGAGACGAGGATTACTCAAATCAGCCCAACGGCCAAGATGTCGATGAATGGCCCGAGGCACCAGCACAACTCCCTCAAGAAGAATATCCCTACGAGAGCGCCCCTAGTGGGGATTTCCCTGGCGACTACGAGGGATACTCGGATCCTTACAAGATGCCCCCACGGAAACCCGAAAGTGCATACACAAGGAGAATAATCGGAGTTTACGACAATGGCGGAAACCTGATCGGTTATCAAGAGGTTTACGAAGAGAAAACCGACGAGTTTCCAGAGGAAATAAACGGTGGCGTAGTTCCGTATCCCGACCCATATGAATATAGAGGAATGCAGGAACCGTATGAGAGTGAACAATTCCCCACGGAAGGTGCTCCATATTCTCGTGACAATAGGGAACGGATGGAAGATGACTTCCGTTATCCGTACGACAGAAATAGCAATGTAACCAAACACCCTTGGTATGACGAGCCTGAGGAGAGAGGCTTTGTTAAAAGTAAATACAATAGACAGACTGTTACAGATGACCCGTACGGCTTCCTAAACGGGGACAACAACCAGCGCGTGCAACCATCAAACATTGCCAGGAATTACGCCAGTGGAACATACCTTTAGGTAAACTTAATAGGACTCTAAACAACTAAGTTATGTGTCGTCCTTATGGCAGATTTTATGGATTTTAGAGGTAAGATAACTCAACGCAGTCGCTTGACAGAACCAGGAGCACGTCACCAAGTTAGGCCAATGTCAAGAAAGTCCTGAAGACTTTTCGGGTCCGGAAAGCTGTAGCCTGGGACCAGGCTCGGTAGTGTGGGAAAAGGGCGAGCTGAGCAGTAGTCTGTGTCCCTCGCTCGGCGCGCTTGCCTTTTTCCCCTACTGCAGAGCCTAGTCCCACGCTAGGAAAGCTGTTTTAGGTTTGCTGCGTTTTTAAAACCCAACGTCGATGTTTCAATAGTATTGCAAGTGATCTACAAAACTATCGGCTAACAAAACATAACGGACTAGTTTGCTAGCTAGAACTGGCGCTTGTACTCTTTAGATTTTAACTTAAACATAAGGTTTCGGACCCGAAAAAGTTTCCGGGACTTTCGAGAAACGGGCCCCTGATCTCGCTCCAGAAGTCAGGAGGAAGAGAGACTTCGAGAGTAAGGTTGACTATTGGCCATTTTGGGGACTGCACGAGCGACGGGGTCGATACTGTGCCGAATGACCCCATGGGACTGGTTTGGGGACGCTATGGCTTCTTTTATCGACTATCACGAGGTTGCGTAGGAGACCGGGTCAAAATACGTCAACCCAAACAGTCGCATGGTGCATTTTGGCACAACATTGCTCCAGTCTCCCGCTCAACCTACAAATGGCCAGTCATGTTGAATCCGTAAACAAACCTAAAGCTTGACGGTCGCTTGCCGCAACTGAAAGTTGGGTATCTTAAGGAACAGGGACTAATTTCCGTGGTGAAGTGACCAGTTGCTATAAATTTGTGTAAGGGAAGTAGTATGAAAATTCTTTAAGTATAGAATTCATGAAATTACTAATAGTTCCCAAGTAGATCGCGCGCTAAAACTAAGCTTAAAACCAAAATCGTATTAGCCCAGTGTATTTTACATATACCAGAAATTAGTTTTTCCGTTGGAAGTTAGTCTCTGGAAACTACAGTAGTTGGGAGTCTGTGGGATCAACAGCACTACTGAGTTACACCAGGAGCGTAAGCCGTCATACTTTCCTCACAATTCCCTATAGACAAAGGCTTGTGTCAAGAAAGTCACAATTTTCAGACAAACTTATAGTAGGAGAGTCCCGTCCTGGGACAATTTACGTAACTCATGACGCGAGGGCGTAACCGCTAAGGTCCTTTAGCGTTAAGCTGAGATAAAGTAACTTACTAAGACCTGACGTTCTTTTTGTTATGTTTGTTGCTCGTCGTAGGTTCCTGTGCGCTTATGCAACAGATAATATACCTTATTTCCTCGAATAATAGCCGGGGGCGATTATTGGAGGGAAGGCGATTATTTCAGATATTGCCCACTGAAAGTCGCGCCCTAAATATTTTGTTTTATTGTCTCATTGAAGAAAAAGCTTATCACATCAAATAACCTGAACATGGGCTTTTTAAGTGTTTAAACTTGGTTCCTCGATTAATTTTCAGAGCTTGAATCGTCACTGATCAGTTTTGCTCAATCAGATTTCACTTCAACTTAACAGAAAGGGGATAAACGAAAGAGAAGATGGGTTGAACTAGGGTGTTGCATTTTTTTAATTTTGGTTCTTTTATTAATTTTAAGGTGTTGAATTGATCTTGATTGGTTTGTATCAATTACTTTTCACTAAAACTGAAGGGGGGGGGGAAAAAGAAAGGAGGGGGGGGGGGGGGGGGGGGGGGGGCGATTATTCGAGGGAGGCAATTAGTCGAGGAACGGCTATTATTCGAGGAAATACGGTACGCGCATCAAATTTTCTATGAGAAATTTGCTTGTAAGAGTTTCTTCTACTTACGTAAAGTTAACCTTTTCACATTCCTATATTTTCCCGTGTGACTGTGAAGAATGATCAGCCGGAGGAGTAGTAATTTCCGCTGGTAGTAGAGGGGACCCCGACCTCCGTCTTACCACGTTCTAATCCTGCCCCTACGGAAAATTCCTACTGTTCCCAGTTTCACTCACCAGAATAAATCAAGGTAGCGCCTTCTTAGTGGCTGGTCCAGGGTAGATTGCTCCCAGTCGCCTATTTTTCCGTAAGATCGTCGAGATCGAGTTCTTTGCGTTACTGGCGGCCATCTTGGATGCAATGAGTGTCATATAGTGTCACTTAGGGAGCGGAGAACCGTTTGGGTATAAATGAAACCAAGATGGCCGCCCATACCGGTACGCCCTCGAACCTGACGAACTTACGAAAAAAATAGGGACTGTGAACAGTTTAAGTTCAGGGCTCGGAAACCACTCCCTAAATACAACCATCAGTCCAGAAACGGTTATAAAATTTAAGGCCCCAGTGCATTATCCCTTGCAGGATCGCGCATTTGCTACTAAATAGCGTGAGGCGACCAGAAAGGGTGGAAAGATTAGTTGTAAACAGGCTCTAGTTTTTGTACCCCTCCCGTAAAAATTCCTGGATCTTCCCACATCACACGGAAAATAATAGACTGTGAACAGTGTAACATGGAGTACCATATTTAAGAGTGCTGCCAAATACTTTTCATTGAGTACCCACACGATACGGTTTTGTCCGGGTGCAAAAAGTCAAACCCCCCGGGGGGGCTCCCATATGAAAGGGGCAGGTTTCCCTTAGGAGTGTAAATTTCGGATTTCGGTCTCACTTAGGGTGTTCTGGGCAAAACGCCATTATATTTAGCCGTAATGTCTCTTTTAGGGTTGCCACGAAGAAATATAAAAAAAATATTATATATTTTCAAGTCGTTTTATTTACTCGATTCATTTAATCAAAGTTTAAAATGGCCTCTTTTAAGGGTCAAAAAAAGGTTGGTCTCCACGCCCAGATTGGTCTCCTTTAGGGGTTTAATTCAAAATTTCCGACGAGCACCCCGCCCCTTTCATATGGGAGTCCCCCAGGAGTTAAACCACCTGACATGGCTTCATCGGAGTGACATCCTTAAACATTTACGTTTATGCGTTTGCCATGGTCTCGATGGTCTCGTGTGGATATAGCCCTAGAATGATATACTTAAAATACCAGGCATTAATACGTAGAGCACAACAGCACAATGTATACACTTTATTATCAGAAAATATTATGAATGTTAAAATTACTTTTCAAAAAAATATATTTCTTAAGGTTTTTTGTAATAAACGTCTTTTAAGGCTACTGGATTACCGATAGACGAGTGAAAAATTAAGATTTCTTATTTTGAGAGGAACCCGAGCTTGTGAATCACCAACCTCTCTCCATGGGTTCTTTCGTGCTCGCCCCCATCTCTCGCTCCGTGGACGAGTTTCAGAGAATCCTGGCAACGAGATTGGTGAATCAGCCGAGGAGAAACCTGAGAGGAAACTCTTTTAAGACTCTATTATATGTGACCATATACTAGCTTTAGGTCATTTCCAGTTTTTCCTAAAGCCTCTGTTTCAAAGCGAGGCTAAGTGCGAAGCCATTTAGAAGAAAATGATTTTATCCCCGTGTAAATAAAACTCATTTTCATAAGAAAGGTTTTGCACTTAGCCTTTTTGTAAAGCGAGATATTTTGGAACTCGCAAATGGCTTATTTCTCACGCAATTTTGTTGTAAAGCAAAGTTTTAAGAGCACTCGTTACCGAAAATCTGTCTTTGCTAAGATCCACGTTCCCTGCATGCATATTCACGAACAGGACAAAATACCACTGTATCAGGACATACTCAGCTCTCAAGTTTCGAAAGGTTTATCCCAGGTCCAACTGATCTTTAATCTTGTTAGGAACAAACATCGGCTTCGCTCCAAGTATGGCGGATTTGGGATCAAGAAGCGAATTTTCTCTGTTTTTCTCTGAACTCTCCTCCGTCACCTTCAATGCAGGCCCCATGGCTGCTAAAGCCGCCTTTAGATCTGGTTTTCCCAAGTCAATGCTGTCGTTCTTTTTTACTTCCGGAAATGTTACTACACCTGATTCGTTCTTGGCACCGGAAGTCAAGTTTACTGATGTATTAGTAAATGGTTGAATACTCTCTCCGGGGGAATTAGACGTTGTAGAAAAAAGTGTTTTCCTCGTTCCTTTTTGCACCTGATTTGAACTTAGCACCTTTTTTCTTTTCCAACCCAAAGTGTATCCCTTTTTGACGCGATACTTAATCAGCCAGTCCTGTAATGGTGCAAAGTATTCCAAAATGGCGCCTGCTGTCATTTGTCGCTCACCTGTCATACGGTAAAGGGTTTGGGGCCAAGGACGGCTTCGACCTGCGGCCAACATTTCTCTATAACGTATAAAATACATAAAAGTTACGTATCTTGGTTAAGAAATAGGTTTATGATGTAAAAATTAAGAGAGGTGTCTAGATGACATAAGCAGACAAGATAACTTGATCCTTGCGGATTAAAAAAGATAGCACTCTTTCGCTGAGTGTTCCTTGAGCTTGAGTGCAGCCCACTTGACCGGCGCAGTCGGCCTCTCGAGTACAGAGCAAAGTTAAAACACACATGAAAACAGAAGTATGTAAGCATTACTTTAAATGTTAAATTAAATTAAAAGGCGCCTGTGTGATACTACTTCCTTTCTTATAAATAGGAGAAATCTATTTATTCGCCTTGAAAGCACTCTCAGTAAGAAAACCCTTGAATAGTTCGTGTAGGGCGCCTTACCAGTTCCTCTTGGTCAATATATTTCAGTGAATGTAGCCTCACGGACCACGAGACGCGAAACGAACAAGGCGCGCGGAATATCGAGACCTAGTCACTAGGCAAAGCAAACCCGACAATGGAGGCCAATAACAGTAATAAGGGCGTTCGTTCCCCCAGAGTGAGGTTATTCACTTGCACTTTAATTTCATTTTGGCCCATCAAAAAGATAATGCCTTTCATTGAAGAACTATAACTCTCTTCTACTCCGGACTTCACTCGCCATTTTTTTCCCTTTCGTACTTTCCCCAGCCGATCCTCTTCCAGAGAGCTTGACAACAGTTCAGTTTCATAACCTCAGTATACTTAGCCCTCATACATCCATTCCGTCCTTACTCCTCAAGCTTAATATACTGAGAGGAACGTTATGTGAGGACTTTGATATTATGATGAAGCACCCTACCTGAATTTCTTGCCAGCATCTTTTGACTTGTAGATGGAACATTCATGCAAAGGACCTTTGTGCTTTGCTGTTTTACAAAGTGAACGATGAAACTGGAACTGAAGAATGAGAGAGACGAAGTAGCTGCCGACAAAAACAAAAATAAATAAATAAACGGTGATCAATAATTGAATACAGTGAAGACCAGTCTTCCTCTTGATCTTCGCCAGGCAGGAACCCTCAACTCATTTAAAGCAAAACTACGCTGCTACGGTTTCTATAACCATCTCGCGACATCCATGTAACGCAGGGTTTTATTCATAATTTTGATGTCGACGCTGACACGAGTAACATAAGCAGATCAGTCTCGTGCCCAGAGCCCTAATCCGCTTACCAGCATTATGGGTCGAGAGCCTTAGCGCTGGCCAAAAGGATCGCGGCTCTGGGGACGAGAATGGGGCAACATTTCTTCCCGGGGGTACTTCCCCTATCCTAGAGTAGCTTTTAGGCTGAGTTGCGTAAATTTAAACTTGCCAATTTGATTTTTTTATATTTTTGAGTGGCAATTCCCGGTTTGCCTAGTCTAGACTAAAATCTTCAACCAATTGATCAGTTTCCTGGAAAATGATACCCTATTCTAGACCCAAACTCTCTGATTTAAATACCCTATCCTAGAGTAAACTGCTTGAGAACCATACCTTTCACAGCGGCACATACTTACATAGCCCATCAGGAGCCCATCTCATGGGCTCCTGGCTCATATATGGCAGTACCCTCCCCCGGGATTTCTTCCTCATCGTCCTTTCGCGTACCCATTGAACGGGGAGTTAACATGAACATCATCGTAAAGGTTTAAAACTGGCATTGCAAGGACGTACAAACTGACTCTCGAGAAAATTCCCATTAAAAAAAGACAAGTTTTATCCGCCAACTGTGTTGTTTTTGTGTTTTTACGTCGCCCGTTCATATGAACCTTGAAGGTTCTACTGCGTATGATTAAACCCATTAAGTGACAGGGTCCTCTACATGTTTACCCGATGTAAGCAGAGTTGGCGCCCACGTGAAATTTAGCTCCAGGGTCAAAGTCCGTCTCAGTCCGAGGGACTGGAGCCATAACACCTTGGTAGAGCATGCGCATTCGCCACCACTCTGAGTTGTAATTTGCCGGTGTAATTCTTCCCGAGAACACCCTCCATCTCCACAGGTCAACAAGTAGTGTCCAGGGAAGCGCGGCTACTCGTTGTAGTGCTCTGTCCATCAAAAAGTTTATATCTGCTTCTGCAAAAATGAAGGGAGACAAGAGTCGAATCTTTGCTGATGACTTATTAGTTTAAAGTTATTTCAGTGTAGTAACAGTATCTCACAAGTGTTTTACGTCTGTTGATAGCGGAGCACTACGCGCTCGCAAAGCGCGCGCGAGCGGAGCCTCATAACAAAGAAAATGTGCTAATCTATCTATCCGAGAAATTTTGGTAATCAAGTGACCGTACGTCCGCCACAGGGAAACTAATCTGAAATATCAAACTTTCTAGCTGGTGTGGGAGCCCTAAACCTAAGTTTAACTTGATGATAGACATCAATATTATGGTCAATTGACAGCTGTCAAAACAGGGCATCCGCTGATCAGAGTCACATGGCGATATGGCGGGCTCAGGTACCAACTCATCGAAGTCACGTATTTTTTTGAAGTTTTCCGCCGACCAGTTATTAGCTTTAAATTGATCGCAGGCTCGAAGTTATGTTTTTCAGTCATATGGTTCTCCCCCAAAGTTAAGTATAGAATTGTGGATTTCTTTGCAATAGTTTAAAGACCTTTGCCTAAATTAATTTTAAATGCATTAACTGGAGCTTCACTTTTAGCTCTGGCTAAATCTTAATATTAATTTGCGTTTATATGATTTACTGAATTGCAATTTTCTCCCACCAGCACCTCTGTGATCTCCCGCGCTTTCCAGCGTTTAGCTTATCAGTTGTGCGTCGTTGCGCGTGCTTTCTGCATTTACCGCTGGCCCGTTGCAACAATAAACAAACCAAACAAACTGAACAATGACTCACCAGAGTTGTTTCCAATCGTGTACAGTAGTCCCACGGATTTCAGATGTTTAGGGTTGAGAACAGACAGAGCGATAGTGTCGCCTATAGCCTCATGGAAACCTGGATTGGCGCCACTTCTGAAGGCAATCGGTTGATCCTTGTAAGCGAGGTCGTATTCACAATGTCCCATCTCATGATGGATCGTTATCAAGTTTTCTTGGTCGACTCCTGTGCACATCTTGATCCTAAGCGAAAAACAACCCTTCAACATAGTGAGTTAATTAACAATCATTCCTCGAGCCCGAATGTGCTCTGAGTTTATACTGATCCCATGAGGCCGAAGATCTAATGGACTATTGACTCAAAGCCGTGAGGGCGAGAGGAATAATTGTTTTATAAATCCAACTAGTTGGTAAAAAATATCGAGACAAAACAACTTTAGCTAGCAAAACGCGATTCAGCTGCCATTGTTTTGGTTTTCAAAGCCAGGGCTTTTCGATACTAGTGCGCTATAACATATAGCCTAGTAGTAGCTTAACCAATCAGAACGCAGCATTGATAACAGACCACTAGTTGGATTTTACTAAATATAGATAAACCATGTTCTTAGGTGACGAACGTTCTGATCCATAGAAACGTTGAAAGCTTCAGATAAATTTTCGACTAAAAAATACAGACTAAGTCATTTGCCACTTGGAGACCCCTTAACGTCATCTTAACAATCTTCGTTGTGTTAACATTTCTTCATTTCCAGCAATGCGATTAGTGCCCGATTTCCCCTGTAAAACTTTATTTTCCGGTGTTGTTCTTATCAGAAGAGCTTTCTCAGTTTCTGAAGCACTCGATAGCTATGCACTTCAGCTTCAGTTACTCCCTACCGGTAAGCGTTTTTTGGAAGATGGCCTTAACAGTCTAACTAGTGAAACAATAGATCAATCAATTCGACATCAATTACCCTCGAAACTGCCAAACTTCTTGCACGACTCATCTCAATAGCAAATCGATCAATTCATCACCGGTTATTCAGTCAACTCAGCCTGTCAGAATTTAACCAACAATTCGTCTGAACCATTTATCAGCCGACTAACCCAACAACAACCAAAACTGTCAATCAATCAATCAATCAATTAATCAGTCAATCAATCCATCAAGAGAGTCGTAACGATTATTTCACCTTCACGTACCTAACATCTCCTTTGTTAAAATCCCAGGCAGACGGATGACAGACCATTTTTCTGTCCTTAGGTTTCTCAATGGCTGATTTATTCCAGAATGTTTGAGGCATGGGGTCGAGGCCAATAGAAACAAAAAAGGATTGTGCAAGCTTGAACATCTTTATAGGAGTATACTGTTGCTTACGCAAGTTTGGTGTTACATCAAGAGATGGGACCTTAGGATAGGGCTTTACGAGGTCTTCAATCAAACTCCAGTCCTGAGCCCACATATTCCCTAAAAGATGCGCCTGAATGGTCCCATTTTCGGGCACTTCAGGGTACTTTTCGCGTAACTTGTACCTAACATATGCATGAAGCTCCTGGTAGAGTGGTTTGACTTCATTCCATAGCTTCATGATCGCTTTTTGAAAATCATTTCCCATCTCGTATTCGCTGCGTTGAAAATTCCCGTAATCACCCCAGTCGTGCGCCCTTGCCCCAGAGTTCAGAAGGTTCACAAGTTTTTCGTACAGCGTCCTCATGGGAGGGCCGACGGCATCTCGCCAACTTTTCCAGCCCCAAAGAAGCTCGTCGTAGTCGCGTGATTTCCCCATCAGCGAGTAGAGGTCTGGATCTAGTTCTAAGTAGCTTGTTTTATTTGTAGCTTTGTTGTGCTTACAAACCTTTCCACTACTATAAATATTTGTCATATTTGATATAAGATCATCTATGAGCTTTATATCCCTTGGCGATTTGGGAAGATAGTTTCTACGAATAATCCTAATTTGCCTCGCTTGGTCGTTGGAAAGATCCACTTCCTTGATGCGCGAAGCGTTGTCACTAGCTTTTAGATAAAAAGCTTTGGCAAATGTTGAGTTAAATACCGATAGCTCTCGGTTAGTCTCAGTAAGATTGGTTTCGTAATTCCAAGCAGCTTCGCTTTCACCGGATGAAATGCGCGTTGCTTTATCCTCATAGTTTTTTAGGAAGTCCAGCGCTATAGACATGTAGTTCTTGAAGGTGGTTTTTGTGACGTTTTGTAAACTGGTGGCGCTATAGCTTTTCTGGTGCCACGAGAGAAGAAACAATGAATAGCAAAGCCACAAATTCATCGCCGGTCTTCTTAACCATCACATTAGAAAACAAATTTCCTTTCCAAGAGTATCAACATTTTCCCGGCGAGAAGGATACTTGAAAAATCAGCGCGACAGAGATCCAGTTGTTCACTTGAAAATCTGCCCCAAGCAAATTGGCTTAAATGACGCGATTAGATGCTTGTAATAAATAATGTATCTAATCAAGAGGGTCGAGGGGACAGCGGGTAGAATATTCTTAATTCTTGTCTAAAATCTGGTGGTTAAGTAAATTAACTAAATTGTATCTGTCACAGCCGGGATGGGAGTTGACTTAAGCAATTACTACAGACAGTTAGTTTAAAAAGATGGATAAAAACTTTTTCATAATAGCATGAATTTTTTGGGGTATTTTTTGGTATCCATCTCATTCTCCTATCCCTCTGGCTAATGACAACATAGGTTTAACTTTGTCTGTGTTCTCTCTTTCTCGTCTCTCTTTTTTCTCTCCTCTCTCTGCTCTGTTGCTCGGATGCTCGTGAGGCGCTCTTGGGGCTTGGCGGGGGGGCTTTTGTGTGTGTGTGTGTATGTGGGGGGGGGGGGGGGCCTCCCCAACCTTTGGTTCAACGGGCGGCTTTATGGGAGTTTTAGCAAGGAGGAGGACACAATAAAACACCCTTTTTTCACGTTTTCTGGAGGAAAACGATTTAACAAAACATGGGACGGCGGTGGGG